CATCATCGGCGGTCCCCATGGGAGGACCGGCGGACACCAGAGAACCGGGGAGAGGGGTGGAGTTCCGGCCCCTCTTGTGGCGGACCTGAGAAGAAGAGGAAGACCCGGTCTCCTGAATTGAGGGACCGGGGATGGCAGTGGGACGGATGGAGGATGGGACAGTGGCCTTCCCAAAACTGGAGGACCGAATTAACTCCTCCGTCTCCAGAAAAGACTGATGGATATTTGTTCCGGGGAGAGGAACGTCACCATGACCAAAGGGAGTCCCAAAAATATTCTCCGCCGCAGAATTTGCAAAATAAAGGATATTGGACGTTTGGGGCTGGGAAATTGCTTCGTCCCCCCCACAGCCAGAGGAGGGGGAATATTCCCAAGGAGATTCCGTGCTACACGGAATCCCAATCCCGGCCACCTGAACGTGAGGCGGCTCAAGGGACCCTTGCGAACCAGTGGCGCGCCCTGTCGGAAGGGGCCCACTGGTTTGGGGGTGGAAACCTAGTGGGCCCATGGGCTGAGCCGAAGAAGAAGTTCCCCTGCCAAAGAGAGGAGTGTGAGGAACGCCGGGGATAAGGCCGGACACCCTCAGGGTCCCCGGAGGAAAGTCGTAGAGGCCATCATCTTCGGAGACGTCCTCAACCACCACCTCTTCCGAAAGGGGAGGTTGGTCGGCAAGCGCCAGAGATAGGGCCCCCGTCGCGGACCCTACTTCTTCGGCCTCGGTGTCCTCCTCCGGAGAAGGATCCCTTCGAGAAGATCGCCGACGGAGTCGAGTGCTCCTGAAAGGAGGAACCCAAGAGGAAGTTGTGTCTCCCGACGGCTCTTGAGGAGGAATATCGGGAGACACCCAGAATCCGAGACCCCGAAAATACGAGTCCTTGAGGAGGAGCGCGCGGGGGACCGGATGGCCGTTCTTGCGAAGAAGACGGAAGACCCCCTCGAGCTCCGAGTCGCGAGGGGGAAAAAGGTGAGAAGGGAACTTATCTTCCTTCTTCCGCCACACGTTGGGGAAGGGAAGATCTTCGGGAACTACCACCACGAAGAAGCGGCGGAACCAATCGTCAAGTTTGTCGACCGGGCTATCCAAAAATTGCATATCGGTCCGGGCCGTGAAGCTCACGAACCCCCGGCCCAACTCGCCATCATACTTGTGGGGACGGAAGAAAGAGAGGAAGAGCTTCAGAGTGGGTTGGATGCCTCTCTTGTGACACCGCGCCAAGAAGCCAAAAAGACTCTCGTGGGAGTTCGAGGAAATCTGACCGGGAGGTATGGCGTAGCGGTTGCAAAGTTCGACCAAGAGGGGATGGAGAGGGAAGCGGCATCCCATCCTCACCGAGTCGTAGTGGACGACCAGTCGGGGGGAGGTGTTAGGATTGCGCTCCAAAGTAATACCCGTGGCTTCCTAGACGCCATAATCAGGAGGAATGACTCCCCTCATCTCCCCCAATTGCGCAGGAGTGATGGAGGAAACATTCTCGTCCTCCTTGGATTTCTTACCGCCGTTGAAGATCTTGGAAACCTTAGAGATTGTCTTCTTCATGGTGAGAGAGAGTAAAGGTCTTGGGAAGAAGAGAGGATGATTCGGCAGGGATAAAGGCAAGGGAAGTAGAGAGTTGTGTGTGAGCGTGAGAAAGGAGAGGGGAGAGGGACCGTATTATAGAGAAAGAGAAGAAGAAGAAGAGACGGTCCACCCTTGGAGATCCAGCAACGGTAAGAATTTTGAATGGCACATGTTTCGAAACGGTCCAATGGCAGTAAAGGGATGCCTGGAAAAGAGAATGACAACCTTAAGATTCGGATCAAGAGCATTAACTCCAAACGGACCACTCTGCCGATTTCCCAGATCTGCGGTCCTCTGTTACTCTCCTTTTTCCTGCTACGGTCCCACAATAACAGAAGGGTGGGGACTTTGAATTGTGCGCAGTAGAACGGTCCTATGCAACAATTAAGGTAGTTGGAGGGACCGGTCAAAGTGGCTTGGAAAGGTGGGCCATGGATATTAAAGGGGCACGGACCCCAGAGGTCCACTCGTGCCTTTTCCCATGCACACGGTCCACGCCCAATTTATTCCTCTACAAACGGTCCACCATTATTGGTTTGCAGGGACTGTTCGCATGACCAAGCAGCCATTGGACAGAACCGTGTGTGGCCACAAACAGTTCACTCAACCAATTATACATCCTAGCCCGTAGGGGCGTACTGTGGGGAATATCATCTGGAGTGAATACAAGTTAAACCTTGGGGTCTTCCCCAAAAGGAGAATCTTCGTCAGAAAATGAAAAGAAGACAGAGGAGAAACTCTCCGAGGAAGCATGCGAGGAAGACTACAGTCAAAAAAAATTTTTATTTTTTGACATGTAAAAAAAAGGGGCATGTGATGGGAACCAAGCCCATCGAGAAAATACTAACGGATTGGGCCTAGGCCCAATTCGAGTCCCGTCCATCAAAAGGAGCTCGGACCAGATAAAATATACCTGGCCAGTCGAATGTAGGTGTCCGTGAGGAAAAATAGGAAAAGGAAAAGGATTGGGGGAGGCCTAAGGATGGGTGGAAGCCCAGCCCATTAGGAATAACTCACCCAAGAGGAAGAATCCTATGTAGAGATTAGGGTATGTCCCCCCTTAACAGGAGAGACAGGGACGGGGAGAAAAGGACGGACGAAGGACAGAAATGAGAGGTGGACGGAAAGGCTGTTGTCTTCCAGTGGACGGCTCCTAGCTGAGATACATTCTTCCCAGAGGATGCAGGCTGGCACGAACATTCCCCCTGACCACTGCCATTATTGAAAGGGATAATGGAGGAAAGAGCCTATAAAAGAGAGAGAGAATAGAGGAGAAGAGATATCTTGTAATAGAGAGAGAAAATACTTGAGTAAATAATAAAAGATATTCCGGCGATCCTTAAGCATATTCCGTTCCTAAGAGGACCGAATAAAGGAGAGGACCGCCGATTTGAGTTATTATCCAGTGAGCAGTGCTTCTATTACTATTAATTATTATTCTCGTATTATCTTTCAATATTGTAAGGCCCGGATACCTATATTTGAACCTGGGCCGATTTAAAGTCCTTGGGAAAATATTGGGTATCCATCACAATTCTAATAGGGTTAGTCAAAAAACAATTCTAATAGGGAGTATGTTAACTACGGAGTACAAAACATTTTAGACAAACTTCACAATTTGTTTGCTAAATATTCAAAACGAACCACTAATTTTGAACACTCGAAAAATGTAAAAATGGTCTAGAAAATCGATACGAAAAAATGTAAAACTGTAAAAAGACCTTATATACAAATTGAAAGAGAACTTGTGCGCTAAAAATAAAATGGAATATACTCTTTTCGTTCCTAAATCATTTACTCTTTATGCAAAACGAAGTAAACTTTCAACCTTTTTCAATTCATTTCATTTAAAAATTGATATATAAACAAAAAATAAAATTAACATATTTAAAAAGTATATAAAAAATTCTCAACCTCCGTTCTACAAAACTCTTCCTCTTTTGTTTTTTTTGTTTTCCACAAAACACTTCCACTTTTTATTAAAAAACCACTTTTACCCCTACTTTTTCATACCTTATCTATCACATCATACTTTTTCACTAATAACCAAACTATCACATCTTACTTTTTCGGTTTTTTCTATCACATCAGGGGCAAAATTGGGAAGTCAACCAAAATTACACTTTCCTTATTTTTTCCCCCAAAGTCAAAACCGGAAAGGTTTTGTGGAACGGAGGGAGTACAAAACAAGAAATGACAAGAATATTTCATTTGATCAAATAGTCAATAAAAACATATAAATAAACAATAGTTCCCATGATTTTTGAATAATAAAGTGTGTAAATCATTTAAAGACAGAGGGGGCATTTAGAATGAAAATGGGTAGCCCTATGCTTATCTAAAGTATCCCAGTAAATTTATAGGCAAAGGAAAACAGAATTAGTTCAAATAGCATTAAAGAAAGTAGTGCAAGAATTACACAAAGCATCTTTAATACACGGTAAATGCTTAAGAAACTTATTTTGCACCAACTAATCATGGAAGCAATACTTCAGTTCTTGCCAATTTCTTCTTCAATGTTCTGAAAAAGAAGAAAAGAAAAATATTAAAGAGACTTTTATAATCCAATGGTAATTGATTTGGTTGCATGACTCATGATAAAGGCTTCCTTTGGAGACATCCTTTGTCACTAGCATTAGCATTTCAGATAGTTTTTTAGTTTTGTTGATTAACTTTGAAAACACTAAAATCGAACATTCTGAAGCTAATACTCTAACAAAGAAATAGCAACGAAAATGTATAATAAATTTGAAAATGTAAGTGAAATGCAATTCAAAATAAAAATGTATGAAAATTACGGAGTAAAAAAGAAGAAAGTATAATAAACGATCTTTAACAAACCAGTTCGAAACAACAACATTACTCCAGTGCCTCAAAGGCTCTTTCATATTACGGGTTTGGCAATTGTTTCCAAATAACCAATGATAAGTATTGAATTATGATTTCAACTCAAGGAAATAATTGTGTACAAGGTAGTTTATATAGATGGAGATTCCTATATCAATTAGGATTCTCCAAGTATGGTAATTAACTATAATAACAATCCTTCTATAACTATAACTATTACCATAGTTATCTAACATCCCCCTTCAAGCTGAACGCCGTGAAACGAGAGGAAGCTTGGCGACCAATGCAGAGTAGCGCGGTGAAGAGAGAGCTTTTGTGAGAAGGTCTGCAAGTTGCTCATGGGACGGAACATATGAGACTGTCATTTGTTCAGCAATTACCTGTTCTCGTACAAAATGGCAATCAGTACCAACATATTTCATTCGCTTGTGAAAGACAGGATTCTTTGTCAGACAGATGGTGGACTGATTATCACAAAAAAGGTGAGGAGGAGGAAGCTTAATCTGTAGGATGTCAAACAAATAGGTGAGCCACATTACTTCAGCTGCAGCAGCCGAGAGTGCTCGGTACTCGGCTTCGGTGGACGAACGGGACACGCGGCTTTGCTTCTCCGTACTCCAAGAGACCAAATTTGAGCCAAAGTATATCAAGTAAACCAGTAACAGAGCGTCCATCGGTCATATAATTAGCCCAATCTAAGTCAGAGTATGCCTGAATGACTTGTGGTCCACGCCGGAATATTAAACCACGATCAATGGTTCCTTTTACATAGCGGAGGATACGTTTTAAGGCCTGGAAGTCCCACTCAGTGGGTGCATGCATACGTTGACAAACATAATTTACAGCAAATTGAATATCTGGCCGTGTGTTGGTTAAATATTGAAGAAATCCAACTAGGCTGCGGAAGAAGGTAGGATTGTCAAACGGAGGACTCTCCCCCTCGTCGGTCGGCCGAACAGGCAGCGGCGTAGGGGCTGTTTTGTAGTCGTCGACGCCGGCTTTATGAAGCAGTTCACGGGCATATTTCTCTTGAGACAGAATCAGATAATCCTTTTTGCGTGTCACCTCAAGTCCCAAAAAATAATGAAGTGGGCCAAGATTCTTCATTTGAAACTCTTGTTGCATAGCATGAATGAATGAAGAGATGAGGGAGGAGGCGCTACTAGTAACAATGATGTCATCAACATAGAGTAGAACAATCAGAACACCAGAGGGAGAATGCTTAACAAAGAAGCTTGTGTCATGTTCATTTTTCCCAAAGCCATAGTCAGTAAGGAAGCCGGAGAGACGTTGATACCAAGCTCTCGGTGCCTGTTCCAAACCATACAAGGATTTCTGGAGTTTACACACATGATGAGGGTAGCGTGCATCGATATATCCTAGTTGGAGAGGCCAGTTCGCATTAACAGCGAGAGAGAACCAAGCGAATAGTCTGCTGTTTAACAACTGGGCTGAAAGTCTCAGAGTAATCCAAGCCGTATTCCTGTGTATACCCCTTTGCAACTAGACGTGCTTTGTACCTGGAAACAGAGCCATCAGAGTTATGTTTAATTTTATAAATCCACTTACACCCAATAGGAACACGATCTGAAGGAGCCGGAACAAGATCCCACGTGTGTTGACTAATCAAGGCATTATATTCTTCATTCATGGCCTGACACCAATAGCTATTCTGGGAGGCTTCCTTATATGTAACCGGCTCTGTGGTAGGTGGGGAAGAGGGCTGAGTGAAGGTGGAAAATAGTTTCGGTTTGAAAATGCCACTCCGTGCACGAGTTGTCATCGGGTGGCGTATGGGTGGTGGTGGAGGTGGAGAGGGGATAGGTGACGATTCGGGACTACGCATGGTGGAGGAGAGGCTACCAAATTGTATGGGAGTGGGGGGTATGGGGCTGGGTTGATGGGCAGTGGGTTACGGGGCTAGGGCTGGGTGGGTTTCGGGTGACGGGTTGGCAGGGGGTAGGGCTGGAGCTGGGTGGGTTTCAGGTTACGGGTTGGCATGGGGTAGGGCTGGAGCTGGGTGGGTTTCGGGTGGGTTGGGATGAGTGGGTGGTTTGGGAGGATTGGGTGGGTTGAGGTTGGGTACCCGTGTGAGCGTGATCGGGAAAAAGAGGAAGAATCCCACGAAAGACCGGAGACGGAGTGGGAGACAACACGGACTGTGGAGAAACGGTGGAGTACGGGAAATGAGTTTCTTGGAATTGGACATGACGGGAGATGTATATACGACCCGTGGTGCGATCAAAACACCGATACCCTTTGGAGGAGGAATCATAGCCAAGAAATATGCAAGGTTTGGACCGGGGTTGGAATTTATTTGTGATTTCATGGCAGAGACACGGGTAGGACAGACACCCAAAAATGCGAAACATGGAATAGTCTGGCGATTTGTGGAAGAGAAACTCGTAGGGTGATTTGTGATTCAGAGACCGTTTGGGCATGCGATTGATTAGAAAATTCGCCGTGGCTAAGGCTTCAACCCAAAATTTTGCTGGGAGAGACGCAGTGCAAAGGAGTGTGACAAGGGTTTCATCTAAGTGACGGTGTTTCCTTTCAGCTACCCCATTTTGCTCAGGAGTGTACGGACAAGATTTTTGGTGTAGAACCCCCAAACTTTGTAAGAACAGACCAAATTTTGTGTTGACATATTCCCGCCCATTATCAGTTCGAAATATTTTAATTTGTGTATTGAACTGATTTTGAACCATTGATTGAAAACTGAGAAAAGCATCAAATGCATCAGACTTATGTTTAAGAGGGTACAACCAACAAAATTTGGTAAAATCATCAATAAAATTAATATAAAAGTGATAACCTCCAAAGGAGGGTACAGAAGTTGGTCCCCATACATCAGAGTGAACAAGTTCAAAAGGGGCAGACGCTTTAGTTTGCGACACAGGGAAGGGGAGTTTATGGGATTTAGCCACGGAACAAGAATGACAATGATCAAGTTCCTGAAATTTTAAACCTAACTGAGATAACAGGGACTTAGTGACTTGAACAGAGGGATGACCAAGACGGCAGTGCCATTGATAGGGAGTGACTTTGACGGAGTTGACCACTGGTGACGAACTGGAGGCAGGGAGGGAATATAAGCCACGCTCACAAGGGCCCTTGAAAAGAACTTGGTTGGTGGTGTTGTCCCGAATCGTAAAATCCTCGGAAGTGAAAAGTAGAGAACAGTTATTATCTTTGGTAAGTTGATGAACAGATAGTAGGTGAGAATTAATATGAGGGGAATGAAGAAGGTTGGTTAAGGTAAAAGTATGGTTTGAAGTGGTTAGTATACCTGAGCCTGTATGGTCAATAGGATAAGTATTACCTCCCGCAGTTGTAATAACGTTGGTGCCATGGTACGGTGAAGAAGTATGTAGCCGAGAAAAGTCAGACGTCACATGGGTGTTTGCTCCGGTGTCCAGATGCCAGTTCGGATTGGTTTCAGCAGACTGATTGGTGTAGTATGCCTGTGGAGGACCGGAATAAGATTCATCGTAGCGGTGCCAACAATTCCAGACCGCATGACCGGTCTTCCCACACAATTGACACGTGATGCCGGTCCCACGCCCACCACCGCGACCTCTCGGATCATCACGGTAGGAAGGCAGCCGTCCTCCTCTGCCGCTGTAGCTGCTGCCGCGGGAGGGCCCACCACGGCCACGATACGGCCCACGGCCACAACCCCGGCCAGTACCCTGTCCTGGATTGGTGAATAAGGCATGATGAAGATCTATTGACGAGGGAGAGCCAGAGTCACCAAGGTGAAGTTTCTTCTCAAAGGTGAGATTTAATTCTTCAGATAGCAACCACGCCCACGCAGAGACTTGATTAAATGTGACGGTTGCAATATTAGTACGAATGTTCTGTTTGAGCGAGGCGTAGTCCGTAGGGAAGCCACGAAGCACACACAGGATAATATCTTGTTCAGAGATGTCCTCATGAGCCAATTTCAGGGATGAGACAATAGTGAGTACAGTGTCCAGGTATGTTTGCATTGAATCAATGCCCTTTTGAATGCTATGTAGGCGCTCCTTCAACTGAAAAATATGAGTACGTGAAAGAGAATTATACCGTTGTTCAAGGTGATTCCAGATTGCAGCAGAGGTTGGAAGAGCATGAATATGAGTCTGAACGGTTGGAGAAACAATAGCAAGAAGACAGGCCCGGATTTGAGCATCAACAAGGACCCATGAGTCATAAGCCGAATTGGGTTTCATAACCGGCGGTTCATCCTTGCTAGGGGCGGCGGCTTTCTCGTCCAGAACAAGGGATGGAGGAGGCACTTCTGAACCATCAACATAACCGAGGAGACGATGAGCGATGAGATTTGAACGAACCGTAGCGGACAAAGAAAGATAATTTATATCATCAAGTTTGACCGGAGTTAGAGATTGAAGATTCCGGACAAATAATTTCAGACCCGTAGGCAGACGATCCATGGGATCAGAAGAGAGAGCAGCCATGGCCGATTGGTGGAGATCGGCGGCGTGGCCGATTTTTTTCGTTACCGAGACGGAAGACACGGATCAATAGGCTCCGATACCATATTGAATTATGATTTCAACTCAAGGAAATAATTGTATACAAGGTAGTTTATATAGATGGAGATTCCTATATCAATTAGGATTCTCCAAGTATGGTAATTAACTATAATAACAATCCTTCTATAACTATAACTATTACCATAGTTATCTAACAATAAGCGTTGAAAATTGCATTGCCTAAGCGCTACTTCACTATTGAAAGAAACTAGGGAGCCGTTTGGCTTTATTCCATCATACTTCCCCCGTCCGAAAATGTTCTTTTCATTTGACTTTTCACGGTCTACAATATTATACTTTGACCATTAATATCTATATTTATACATAGATATATTTTATAAAAATTTGATATTTCAAAACTATGTTTCATAAAGAATATATTGATATTAAATTTATATCATAGTACAATGTGTTATTCTACAAATCAGAGTCAAAATTTACAAACTTTGACCAAGAAAAGTCAAATATGAAGAATATTTCCAGACGGAGCGAGTAATACCTCAATGCCAAAAGATAATGAATCTATGGAAATAATAAACCATTTTGAAAAATATATTTAAAAAAACTCTCTTTTTTATGACTAAAAAAAGCTTCTGAAATTAGCTGTCAAGAAGAGTGTCTTATGGCATTGCAGGATTCCATTAAACCATAGCAAAATTTATCGGAGGAATACAAAACCTCTCAGTATAATTAAGAAAATAAATGGAGCATTTCAAAATCTATATACCTTCCCCATTTTCACTTCCTGAGCTTTGGCCATCTCTTCTTCCTTCTTCTTCTTCTCTAACCTCTCCCTCTCCATTTTCTTTTCCAGCGAAATTGTTTGAATACATATAAAATCAACCAGCGAATCAGATCTACGCATTTATGTGATCGGAAAAGAAAACACGAGATTGAAGAAATTCATAGCATATAAGGGGGGATTGTACCTGAATATAGACGGTCTCTTTGGCACGTTGTTCTTCACTGAGGACCCGGCCTCCGTCGCTGAAGCAACGGATACCCGCCGCCGATGATCGGCCGGCCAATGAGCAGCATTCCGGTAAACGACGGAGGCCAATGCGCGAAAGGGCAGATTGCAGAGTCATACTTAGCGGAGAATGACTGACGTTTACACAAAACCCTAATAAATAGTCTGCCATTTTGAACGTCTTGCCCGTGGATCAAGAAAAGGGCAAATTTGGGATTTTCAATATTTGACCATAAATTACAACAACAAAAAATTAGTCTTTGACTCATCAAATTCGTCCACTTTTAACTTTTGTAACTGTTAATCTAAACACTTTGATTCATCAAATTCTCTCAATGTGTAAGTCTAAATATAGTCATGTGTGATCTTGTTTGATTTGTTTTAAATTATTGATATATAATTTCTATAATTTTTTAATATACAAATTACAAGATAAAATGAATTAAAGAAGTGTATTGCATGGTGTGTAAAAATAAAAGTGGACAAATACTCTGAGATGGAGGTAGTGTATTTTAAAATTATATCATAAATTTTACAAAAAATATGATATGACTATATTATTTTTTCAAATAAATAACGAAAATATGTAAAGAAATTGATTAATGCTTGACAATATGAATAGTGACTGGAAAAATCATTTTAAGACGGATGAAATATCACATTTCTATAATAAATGTTTATATAACTCCGTACACGAAAAAAGATATTAATTACAAAGTATTATAAAAAGTTGAACACCAACTTCTCGGTCCTCAGTCGAAATAGTAGGTTCGGGAAAGATAAATTGAAGTGTAATTTTAGTTAGTACATGCAAGAATCCCATGCATAACTTGTATCGTCGTTGCAATAATTCGAACTCGAGTTTACATTTGTGACCCTAGAATCTAAATTCTTCAGTAGTAGAAAGAGAAAGATAATTATACAAGACCTCTATGTGGTATCTACGTAGTTATCCCGTCGTTTAGAAAGTGTATCGCATTAATCTTCGGCGAGATGCAATATACATCATATATATGCGATGATACTCATTTATGAGTAATTGAATATACATCTTCGAGTAAGTTAATACTCATTTTGAGTGATTAAATATTCATTTTCAAATAGCGGAATACTCTTTGTTTTAATTTAGTTATGCTAGAAAATGAGTATTCAGTTATTCGAAAATATGTATTTTGTTACTCGAAATAGAGCATTCAATTACTCGTAAATGAGTATCCAGTTACTCGAAAATGAGAATTTATGTGGTGTACGAGAAAAACCGTACATTGGATGTATGGTGTAGGTACTCCAAGTGGGAAGATTATGTTTAAATTTTGAATCGTTGAGTCTTACTAAGCTTATTGTACCAACACATCATGTATTATGGTTGGATAAATGTACACTGTTATCTCTATTGGTTTTAAAACTTACATCGTTGTTCCTTCTTGTATTTAATATTTATATGCTCACTAGACCAGGATACACTTCAAACCTTATGTGAATGGCTACACTGCTTCTTATGATTTTGAAAATAGGCCACAACGTCCTTCTCTTTTTTTCCTTTATTATTATTTTTTATGTAAATAAACTTGGGTCTAACCCGACCAAACTTATTTGAGCTATATATGTTAAATATATTGTATATATTTAATATATTGTATTATTCCATTACCTTATTTGTATAGGTTTCCTTCCTTGTGTCTCTCCTACCATGTTTAGGATTGAGATTCCTCTTATATATATACATGTAACCACATCATATTCAATCAATGAAAATCATCATTCTTCATGGTATCAGAGCCTAATTAAACAAAAACAAAAAAAACAAAATCACAAACCCTAACCCTACCTCTCGGCTCTCCCTCTCGGCAGTTCCAGCGGCAGCAGCGCCGCCTCTCCCTCTCGTCGCCGGCAGCAGCTTCTCTCCTCCTCTCCTCCTCTCGTCGCCGGCTCTCCTCTACCCAATGGCCGACAGCGAGATCACCTCCAACACCAACGTCACCCCGGCCAAGCCTCCTCATCTTGCTTTCACGACGGTCTCCAACGTCAAACTCCATGTTCCGGTTCTTCTCAGCCTCTCTCAACCGAACTACAAGAAGTGGAGTCGTCTCTTTCTCCTCCTGGTCCGCCGATTCAATCTCCAGGGCTACATCAACGGCTCCATCGTCCCTCTCTCTGAAGACGATGATGAATGGCTCCAACTTGATGCTCTCCTCCAGGGATGGATTCTGTCCACCATCTCTGACGAAGTCTCCGATCTGGTTATCTCCTCTGTCTCCACCGCTTCTGCTCTCTGGAAGGTTATTCACGATTTGTTTCACGACAACAAAAATGCTCGTGCCATGCAACTAGAACACGAGTTCCGCACCACCGTCAAAGGCAACA